CCAAATTAAAATAGGGACAAATACATATTGAAATGGAAACAAAATTAAAATAGAGACAAATATATACTGAAATGGGGAAACAAAAGTAAAGAGAAAAAATTCGCAAGATTCGTAAGAAAGTTCAAAGTTCAGTAAATCTCTATAGAACGCACGCGGCGTCCTTTACAAACAATCGGCAAGTTGTGAGGGAGAAAATAGAGAACGGGAGTGAGCTTGTTGTTGAAATAAAAAGAAAACTGTAAACTTTCGTCAGGGTTCAGTAAACTCCGTCGTCTCCGCGGCAGAAAGAACGGGCCGGTTTTGCAAGAACGAGCCGAGAACAGAGGATCGCTCTTTCTCGCGCGGTAACGCGATACCAGCGCGCGCGGCGGTTTTTCGCGTCTCCGTCGCTTAAATCCTCGCTCCGGCCGGGGCCGGTATCGATGTCTTTATTAATGAACCGGGCGCGCGAGTCGGTACCGAGGACCGGGCCCCGCCGCTTGGAAAAGCAGGGCCCACCGCCGGACCGGGCCCGCAGGGGACTGGAGGAAATCTGAATCGGCGCTGATTGGGCGTAGGAACCGCGCGCGTTCTTCGCTCGCCGAGAGAACTTGGCACCGTCCGAAAAATCCGTCGCGATGAATAGGCGTTTCAGGAACGTGTTCCGAGTCGCGGCGTGCTCCGCGCGCTCTCTCGCCGAAGAATAGAACGGCCCGAGAAAAGAATTAACATACCGCGGGGGAATAGATCGTGATCGCCGGTGCCGCGCCGCAGAATAATTCGCCGCCGCCGGCCCCGTTTTCTCTCTCTCTCTCTCTCTCTCTCTCTCCCGATATCGTGAAATACAAGTTCCAACCCTTCACTCAGCATCCACGACACCCGGACGACGGTGTTCGTTCACGGAACTCACGGTGGGAACGCGCGGTCCTCGCGAAAATACCGAGTACGCGACCGAGTAATTGTACCTCGCGATCGATCGTGTTCCAATGGCCGACGTCCCGACTTTGACGATAAAGATAATTGCAAAGATATATTTTTTAATCTCATTTCGCGCTTGGGAAGACGTGTCGCGAACGGCGACGTGTTGAAGCAATATTCGGCGCGATAGATGGCAACGCGCGAATACGCGCACGTCGGAATGATGATCTCGGCGAGAGTCGAGAGCAAGCCAAATAATTAAGTGACTTTACAAGTCGTTTGGATCCCGAGTCTGAATTGTGATGCTGTCACGTGTGTGCAACATGAATGACACTGTGTGCACGCGTGTGCGTGCGCGTGTACCTGTGACGTGTTGTAAAAAAGAAAAAAAAAATGTACAGCACGGAATTAAAAAGAAATCAGAAACGTGTTTTCGTGCCAGTCGAGGAGTTAGAAAAAGAGGCGCGAGTGTTGGGAGAAAACGAGAAAAAGGGCGAGTTGCTTCTTCGTGGCAACGGTCGGTGCATGAAACTGCAAATCTTTGAGATTCCGATGAACCGGTATGCATTCGTCCGGTCTACGTTCGAGGCACGTCCGAAACTTCGGACCTAAATATGAAATACGAGACTGCGTTAATATTTGAGTCGGAGCTATTCGATGCAAATGGCCGCGTCGGCAAGTGCATAGACGCGAGTTGTCGGGGCGAATAAGGATTCGCAGGGAAATATGCATCGCAGATCGAGAAAAAGTCTGACTTATAATCCTCTGATACCTTTTAACATCCTTTAATTTTCCGAATATCAAAGTTCGAGAATATACTTCGACGTATAACGTCGAAATATCGCGGTGAACCCGTTAGCGACCAGTGTTTCGCCTATGACGCGCTTTTTTTGTTATTATACAAAAGCACTTGGCTAGTATAAAATTTAATTTCTATGTTCCCAGAAGTTGATTCTTAGATTGAGACTTAGATTCTATTCTATCTGTATCCTTGGGAAAATCATAGTTCTGATATTCCAATCTCTCGAATCTTTCCAAGGACTGTATAGGTTGATCCTTTAATTAAGAATATATGTGCAATGTGCGATTACGGTCTTTAATAAACTAAGATATATTATATATTCTCGAATCGCTCTTTAACTAACTATCGACCGAAACAGCAAACTATTCAAGGAAATGTCAAGATGTGGTAACCGCAGCAGAGGAATATCCTCCCTCATCTCTTGAGACGCGCGTTTCGATCGCGTCACTTCGCGAAATCCATAAAACGCAAGGCGCGGGACGTAGTTTCGTTCGCGATTCGGCGAGATCTCGAGGTAACGCACCACGCGGAGGAACCGCCGCCGTTCCTCCGGATTCGTTTTCGCGCACGGTCGACCAACTTTTCGTGGACGTTTCACAATGTGGAGCGCGAGATTAGGGTGAAAGAGAACGGGGTGTACGTGGACACGAGGGTAACGGGGAAAGGGATTGGCAGGAACAAGAAGAAGAAGAACAAGGAGGAGAAGAAGAAGAAGAAGAAGAAGAAGAAGAAGAAGAAGACGAAGACGAAGGCGGCGCTAAAAAGAAAAGTCGGTGCACGAATTGAGATGCAATTTGATCCCCGCTACGAAGCACCAGCTGAAGTTGGTAGTCCTCGAGCTCACTTGACGTGAATGAGATGACAGGCATTGTCCGACATGTTCACGTGTACTCGCGCTCTTGCTCCCTCTCTTTGATCGCATGTATAATGTGCTCCCCGCGTGCGCGCGCGGCGCCTTTCTGGGGCCCTCTTATGCCCGTTTATTTCCAGAGAAGAACTCATTCAGCGTACCTTATGCTCGGCATCGATTATAACGCGTTACGAGATCCCATTCGAAGACGCGATCTCGTGACGAATCGATCTTGCACAGTCGATTTCGAACAAGGGGCCTTCGATATATTTGCCGATGCGAGAAATTTTCGCGCGCGCGCGCGAAGTATCGCGAAGCGTTTCGATGGTATGACTACAATTGCGCGCACGAGAGAGAGAGAGAGAGAGAGAGAGAGAGAAAGAGAGAGGAAAGGGAGAAAGAGAGAGAGAGAGAGAGAGAGAGAGAGAGAGAGAGAACTCGCGATTCGACGCAAGAATAAAACGAGTGCGACCGGATCAAAACATGCCAATGACACGGATCATTCTTCATTCCCATGTCTTCGAGAAGATACGAGCATTCCGCTCTTGTGCCCCCCTACATAAATGCGACGTGGCATACTTTATAATCTGCCGAAATAAATCTTGAAAATATAACGATATAATCGAGAAAAATCAGGGAATGATGATTTAACCAATGTCAGAGAAATATAATTATTCACAGCAGGGATATGTCATGAACGCGTAATGGGATTTATTAAATCCTACTCAACGTGAGACATTGCCATTAAAAAATACGTCGCCTTCTATCGATCGTAAAAAGAAAGGGAAAAAAAAAACGAAAAGGAAGAAAATCCGTGCTTCATCGGAAGCGATCAATCTGTCTGCATTTAATCGGCGTTTTCGAACGTACTCAACCGCCGCTTCTCTTCCTGCTGAAATCACACGTAGCCCACGGGGGATTTTTGGAAGCCGCCGCGAGACCTGACTCGATCGTGTTGTCTCGCGAGATCTCACGTTCCCGGACCGAGTTCCATCTCAGTGAGTCAGTGTGTCTTGCGGTCGGCACCGATTAAAATCTCTGTATGACTACACGGATTCCTATTCGCCCTTTTTATTTGCTCAGCTCACTGGAAGAGAGGCGGCGCTGCGTTTTACACGGCTCGTCATCGCGCTACGAAACACGAGGAGCTCACCAGCGCGTACTTTTTCCCGTCGATCGACGCCGACGTTTCGACTCGAGAGATCCCTGCTAAGCGGAAACAGAGACCCTCTCTAGCACGCGGTCTAATGCTTTATTTTAGGGGAAGGTCGTTCGTTTCTCGAGCGGATAAAATTTACGTCGATTAGACGCTAGAAACGCACGCTATCCTTAAATCTTGTAACCTTAATCCATTTTGAGCAATCTCAGACTGTTATTTTTCATCAAGAAATTTTTTTCACAGATAATCTCTCAATTTACATTTTAATGTTTTACATTTAAATTACATGCACTACGTAAAAAGTGACGCTCTGTGAGCGTTCTGACTGTGCGCTCACCATTACACATTGATATTCCACGACGTCCGAGTCCAGGTCCACGTCCAGCTTCAGAGCTAGCTGCGTCTAGGTTCTCAAACGATCGCACTTTCCTATATTGTACTCGCGACCGAAGTCATTTCAACGATATTTAACACGAATGAATTAAATTTCGCGTGTCGAAAACAAGTTGCATGTAAATGAATGACGTACCAAAAACACGGCGTTATATTCGAAAACATCGAAGAAAAAACTGGCGAATGACGATTGTATCAAGTCGACTTTCTCGTTTTATGTTAATTCTTACTTTTAATGAGCAAAGTGATATTATAACCCGTCATATGTAAAAATTTTCAAGAATGAACGATAGCGAAAATTGTTAAATTAATTGCGAGCAAGATACATAACCGCGAATCTAGTAGCGCAATTTTAATGCGCAATTCTGATGCACAATTCTGACGCGCAATTCTGATTTTGCACCGCTCGAAATAATCAGAAGGAGTCGTATTAAATGATTTCAATAATTATATAAATATTAAACAACTCATATACATCTGACCAATCAGGTAGTTATATTTGGTAAAAAGACCCTCTGATTGTTTCGAGCAGTCTGTTTCAGTGCACGGTACAAACACACACATACATATAAAACCTCTACACTGAGAGAAAATTGTTTCGTGTTTGTGGCTGTAATTGCACAGTGAAATAATTATAGTCGGCGAACTCATTTCTGTAGTAAGAGCTATTATAACATTGCCGATAATAATCTTATGTATACATGTCGCTATTACCTTTTCTTTTTTTTCAACAAGAATATAGCGCCGAAAATTACTATAATCTTTAATGAAATTTACTACTTTCTCCTCTCAGTGCACATGTAAAAATCTACAGGTAAATCGCATTGATATCGAACAGATTTTACAAATATAAACAATCACCTCAAAATTCTAAATAACTTTTCATTTGCTCGACTCACCGAAATACCGGAACTCAAGATCGGCCTCGTTCTCCGTTACAGATCTGAAACAAAACAATATGATATCGTTAATTAGACAATGGTTGATAACGTATCGAAAAAGAAAAAAAGATTGCCATTCGAACGTGTTAATCTTTTGCGATTATTGTAAAAATCGACAAGCAAAAATACACAAATTGTTACTTCGACAACAATGTCCTAACTGTCGATCGCAGAGAATTAAAAGAATCACGTAGGAAAAGTTAGGAGGAACCTACCTTCGAGCCGACCCTGCTTGGCCCGAACCGGATCCTCCGGTACACAGCATCCGCATCCGCAGCATCCACCGTGTAGCTACGAGCTCCGTCAGATCTGAAGCAAAGAGCAAGTTTTTTGATTAGTTATGTTGACAGAGAAGTCAATATATCTGCTTCAAGACGCAGTCTATCTTTCTTTTGATACAAAAAAAATAAAAAGGCGACAGTTACCTCCAAGATTCGAGGATGCAAGCATTGCTCCAGACGATCACTGTACGATAATTACGCGCGCGAAATAATATAACGCACCTCACGAACACACACACACACACCACACGACTCGGAAAATCAGTTGAGAATCATACGCGGCGTTTCCCGACCTGTTTGTTCCACGTCAAGGTCTGTTATGATCTCGCGACAATCGCGTACGCGCGTTTGTATTACGCCCGCGGTCGCGTGACTTTCAGCCAAGGAGAGACGCGCTGGAGAGCGCGTTTTGTTGTTTACTCGTTAATGTAACATTCTCTACGTCGTGATATATCAACATTATCCATTATTCTATAGCGTTTAACTCCACCCCGCCCCTCTCTCTCTCTCTCTCTCTCTCTCTCTCAGTCAATATTCAAACCGTCATATATGCAATTTCTCCACGCTGATAGCCGCTCGTAGTAAACTTTGAAGTAAGTAACGATTCGCATCGAAATTGAACCAAGCAATCGACATCGCAATAAAGAGATGATAATGAAATAACTCTGCTTACGAGTGGATTGATGGAATAAATTTATGCGAAAAATCGTATGATTTTAGTACTTGTAAAAAATCGACTCTCGCGGATGTTCTCATCTCAGTGTCTGATGGCTGTGTAAGTGCCTCGAGATGGCCGGCATGTCGTGTCATATATATCGGGAACGTTAACCGCTACTTTATAATTATTACAATTTACGACATATACGGTACGCGACGCGGGAGAGAGTTAACGAGGTCGTAAACGCACGCTCTTAAATTTCCGAACGTCGGGCTCGCCGTTCGCGCTATCGTAGGTGCTAATGGAACTCTCGCTTAACGAGTCGCCGTACGAGCGCGAGAACGATCTATGAGATCTCTGATTATCGGTCGCAATTACGTTTACGCGACTTTAATCGCGGGCGCTCGACGCGAGATGGCGAGACGGGGTCCCGTCTTGGCGTTTAATAAAGACGTTCTCTCCCGCGCGAGCGCGAGAGCAAACGATAAAAATGTCAATGCCGCGCGGCCACCGTAAACGTTGCCAGATGCAGCGCTAAAATTACTAACGGCACTCCCCCGTTCCCCGTTTCGCGTTATTACCGTACGTTTACGACGTCCTTACACCCGCCCGTTCGGTACACCCGCAACAGGTTGCAGCAGCAGCAGCAGCAGCAGCAGCAGCAGCAGCAGCAGCGGCAGCAGCAACAACGCCTGGCGAGGAGGCGACCCCGCTGTTGCATTCACCACTACTTACGCAAGCACACCCCGATAAGTCGCCGCGCTCTGTGAAACGGAGTGATTCTCGCGGAAATAGGATCGTTTCGACGGGTCGCTTTCCGTTCGTCACACGGGGATATACCGTCGTGCGGTATATGGTCGCCGCAAACGCTATATCGAATTAATAATACCTCGACTCGATTTAATTTAGGACGGATTCGGCCACAAAATAGGCGTCTGAGGCTACTAAAACATTGCTAATTCCTACTTTCGTTATTATAATAAGCAGAAAAGTATTTTATTTTATTTCAGTATAGTAATTTATTTTATATATGTGTGTATATATTTCTTTATTTTTATTTTAGTACAATAATTATTTTAGTTTTTGACAGACCTTTGTGTAATACGTAATGCGTAAGAATTCCAACATTTATTTTATTAAAGTGCATTCAAGAGACCTTGAATGAAGAGGGAAAGGATCGGTTTAGAGGACGGGACGACCAAATTCAACAAAGACTTGGAAATGTTTAATTCTTTAATGAGCAAATATTTCCTCCAAAGATACAGATAATGAAAGGAAAAAGAATTTTACAAACGAAACTAGCCCATGCAATAAAATGCAATAAAATAAATAGATATCGAATAAAAGGGGAAGGGGAAATAAACATTTGAGGACAACTTGAGCGAGAAGGTGAAGGGACATGTGCTCATACAAACTTTCACAAACACGCAGATTACTTTCCGTAATCTGAAAATCGTCGCGACAAAAGATTTTCAGGTTATCAAGGAAGGGAATCTTTAAAACGTTCTGCTCGAACAACCTAGTCGAAATTTATTGTTCCAAGGAATGCTCCTCGCTTCTTGAGTTATTTTTACAGATTTTTCCCATCTCCGTTCCACGGACGTCTGGCGCCGCGACGCGGGTGGTAAATCTGTGCATTGTACGCTTTCGCACGCGTCGCATTCAAGAGTTTCACTCACCACTGTAAAATCGAACGAAGAAACGTGTGTTCTTTCGGACGTGGGCTCCTCTCCTGCGGACGCATTAATGTAATCCGACTTACCGCAAAAATATAAAGGAATCATGTTTTAGATGTATCCTCAGCTCGGTATTATCCCAGTGACAATGGGGAATTTTAATAATTACAAAAAAAAATATTCTTCCAACGTTCAGGAAGGTTCGTGTATAAACTGAAGAGAGTCTATAAGAATGAAAAATGACAGAGAAATGGCCGGGCGAAAGTAGAATTTGATTACCAAGATACCAAGAGACGTCGAGAATGCGGGCCATACAAACACGTCTGCGAGAAAAACCCGATGACAAATTTGGGAATCAGATATTCCACATGAAATATCGAAGAATCTCTCTCTCGTCGCACTCGGCGGATCGTTAAAGATGCATCGCGATTGAAATTCGCAGTATGGGTTCGGGCCCTGGTCCGCCTGGGTCCGCAGTGCGGCGCGGCGGTCCGGAGTCGGTATTTCCTGGTCGCATAACTGCGTTCGGTCCAATTGCAGTTGATAATTTCTCGAGTAATGCGAATTCCACGACTGCAGACCACGCTACAAGCCGGCGGCCCGTTACAAGCCGGCGTTGTGAATTCTTGCATCACAACAAAACATTTGCTTTTCGACGCGGTCTGTTTGTATAGGTGTATGCGCGGCGCAGGCTCCTCTCTCCAAGGCCCCCGCTTCGTTCTTTCGATTCTCTCCGGGCCTCTCTTTTCCCTACGGAGGATCTTTCATCTCCTCTTCTTCGGCTCGTCGTTTCGAGACCACTACTATCCCGCCCGAAAACGTTCACTCACGAAAGAACACATGGTGAAGGCGCGACGGACGAGCGCGACGATGTTGCGCGCACGATAAGTCCGTGCTCCTACGCGCTCCCAAACCCAAACGCTCCCGCGTGAGAGAGAGAGAGAGAGAGAGAGAGTGCATTCAAGGGTTTTATTCCACGAGGGTAACTTTACAACTTTACGACTTTACAGCTCCGTCGGCAGCGAATCGACGCGATGGACACCGAATTGAAGGAGAGAGAGGAACGATCGGGAGGAGAAGAGACCGCGCGAGACGTGCGTTTCGTCGTACTGGCCAAAGATCCAAGAAAAAAAATTATTTTATCACAGCGAATAAAAAATTTTAAGGCGCCATATGAAAAATTCAACCGCCATCATCGGGATCGAATTTTCAACTGTCGGTAAAAAGGGAAGAAAAGAGAAGAAAAAACAGTCGACGCATCATAGCCTGCGTCACATTTTCCGGGGGCTTTTGTAGTAACAAGATATATCGCGCGTGCGCTCTAATTTTCACGCGATTTTATACGCTGTTACAATTGTCAACGTTACACGCTGCCTGTACACACGCTATATACACGCTCGTGTTCTCATGTGTTTAAGCGCGACATTTGCGCTGATTTTCGTACGGCGGGATAATTTAACACGGATTCAACGATCACTGATTCTCGGACATTACGTGAATGTCCCTTCGACCTGAACGCGACCTCGAGACCTTTTGAATCCGCATTGCGACAAATAATTACACGTAACCGCCGATAATCACCAATTGAGCGCAATGAGGGCGGCTTGTCTCGCAACGTCTCGCAGTCTCGCGTTGGAAATCAAGTCTCTCCCTCTCTGTCCCTCTTCCTTCCTCCCTCTTATTCGCGTTGCATTACGATCGCATTATGATTACTCCCGTGGTAATTTGCGAGCGGCGGTAATGCCTCCTCATGCCTCTCCGTGGCGTTTTGCAACTCGGATTGCGCTTTTAGCTCGGTTGCTCTCTCTCTCTCTCTCTCTCTCTCTCTCTCTCTCTCTCTTTCTCTCTATCATTGCCGGCAATGTCCGCGAGGCACATCAATGCTTCTTGCGCGCGTGCGCGCGTACACGCGGTAGAACAGTATAAATGCTTGCGATTTCGTCTGACTTTTCTTTCTTTCCCCGTGCGCCTCCGGAATCACTCTCATTATTTCACCGCGTTAATGTCAAGGTCGCGCGCGTTCAATTACCGGCGACGGCAAAAATTCCCCTTCGCGCGTTGCACTTATAACGCGCGTCTTTTTCTCCGAACCCGCGATTATCGCAATGCGGCAAGACTCTGAGACTATCCTCGAGTTGAGACAGCGGATATATCGCACCTATGCGCTTCGGAAGCGCAAACTTCGGAAGGTAACGCGAAAGCTCGAGTCGAATTTCGCGTTTTTCTTTTATCAATTCGATGATCTTTACGCATGATAGTTTCTGTAATAAAACTGTCTGCCTGCTATGATAATGAACAACCGAAACGTTACGCTAATCTTCGGAAGACACCTGACGGATTTTTCAAGCACGAGTACCGAATTCTGTGCACGCAACAAGTAGATCGAAAAAGTTTGAGCCGCGAGTTCCCGAATTCACGCACGTGGGAAATCTCGGGAAGGCGTGCACAATTATCACTGCCCCAATAACCGAGAGAAACCAAAGTACCAAAGTAATTGTATGTATGTGCATGTATGCGATGGGCATGCGTGTGCGTGTGTATGGTCTCGTATGCTCCGACGTCTAGATAAATCAGACCCTTCTTATCGGCGGTGAAAGACTTTGTCAGCGAAAGCAACAAGGTACAAATTACAACGGCGCACACACAGGGTGCAGCCAGTCGAGGAAGGGGCGAAAGACGATGCAACAGTTGCAC